TTAACTTTTCGTAACAAAATGGAACATCCCTCTCAACTTGAGACTACGCCTTAAAAGCAGGCCGTTCCAGGATTTAACTTTTCAATTTATCAAACTACATGGCTGTAGGACTTAAAGTGCTGAATCCAACAGCAAGTTCAGCTCTAGCAAAGCTCAGTTTTAACCGGACAGTGGTAGAAAAAGTAAGGGAACTCGTATTTTCCCCGTGCAGAGTGAAATCACGAATATTTTTGAGATCAGGTCAAATGAAGTTATAGTATAAAACTAGAAAGAAGAAAAAAATATGATTACAATTGCAGCAAAACTGACACGGGAATGACTAAAAAGTAGTGGCGGTAGTGTAGTGTTGCTAGTGTAGAGTTGAATTGGCAGCTCGAACAGTGATTTTTCTCTTAACTGCATATATCTCGTCTTACCGACGGCATTGACCAGGTGCAATGAAGTGATGAAAAAAGGCGACGAGAAGAGGAAATGAATAACGGCTGAGAAAAAACGATTCTTCAGTAGAGCAATTAATCTGACGGGCAACGCCATAAGCTAATATCCGCAAAAATCTGTCAGAAACTGAAAGGTGGTCTCGGGCAGGGAGAGACCAATAATTCTTCGAGGAAAGGTTAATAGAGCGAGTGAGCGGCTCATAGCCGAATGGCTTCCATTCCAAAACATTACAGCGTTCATCAAAAGGAACAGGACAGCTGCTATCACGATTGTTGAACGGAATTAAAATTTTTGAATCTTTTGCCGAGCCAAGTTGCACGCCTAAGATGTATACTATTCGATACACCAGAGCAAATGTTATCGAAGGACGTACAGGGAGTCTCGAGCCTAGCCTTATGGATTTTAATGAACTGACAATGAGTTGTTTGGTATAGCCAATCAAGGAAAAATCTCGCTCTAAGCCCTTTCAAACAAAACAAAAAACGCAAACCCGCATTTTCCCGCCAAAACTCAGTTCAAAGCTAAGCTTTTCAGAGGCTCGATGCAACATTAGACCCAGTCCGATTCTAGATTAGCTTGATTTTAAAGCATAGGCTTAACTTCGAACGGATATCCCCTATTATTCTGAAAAGTTAGTAATGTAATCGACCAGCAGTAAGTGTTCTACACAGATACCTTGGCCAACTACGTACATTGAATTTTACTAATTTCTCCATTGTGTGGCCTCGAACACCAGAACGCGGCATACCCTCATGATCTGGCTTCCTTTTAGTTCCCGATCAAGACAAACTGCGCAGCTGTAAGGTAAACGGTTCAATTCCCCATAAGTAATGCTACTGATGATTAGTGGCTAACCAAGCGTCGTGGATTCACGGCGCCAGGGCTGCCAGTGAGGTGAGCTGTTTCGTAATCTGCGCGATACCTGCCGTCCAAGGCATGTGAATCGGGTTGTGAAGCAGAGTAGAGTGAATGTGAAAACAGAAAAGAGCCAAGGTTTTTGTCGAAGGGCGATCTACATGTCATTCAATAACATTTCTTACTGAGAGTCAAACTGCATTCATTTCAATCGTATAATTTGGCCGGTAAAGGAAACAGAATACGATCAAATCCCAGGGGTACGCCGCTTACGGATGTTTGGAAATACTATACATAACTGAGAAAACTTAGCCTGAAAGTAAGTCGGTCTCGAAAATCATGCGCAACACTTACTATAGGCCGGAATCATCATTCGACGTCATGACTACTTCTTAGAATCAGAAGTGGTATCGGATCCATCCATATGGGTACAAAAGCAAGCCTTCGATGCCTCCATGGTTGGCGCTGACTGATGCCAAATCCTTTCGAGAGGATGATAAATTGATTAGTTTATCGGCAGGTACCCAATGCCACGCCCATTGTAAAGGCCAAGGGATCGACCGATGCCATTGCGATTTCTGAAAGAGCAAGAATGCAATCCAGCATTTGTTGGTTCAACACGAAGAGCGCCTTTCAAAGTTACCAGGACATGAATAAGTAATGGTCCTTATAAACTTGGCATTGTTTCATCGAATGCCGGGTTGCACGGGTTTCTTTGTTACGGTCGGAGGGGACCTCTAATTCAAGAATCCGCATTTTTTT